CATTGCAGCTAGGAAAAGGAGATGCTTTCACATCAGTAGGAGAACGGTTATTGTTTTAGAGACATTTGTAGTGAGACATTTCATTGCCATCTCTAATAGGCCGTGTGGAACCCTTGTTCTGTGGTAATAGAACTAAATAAAAAAAAGGAAGTAGTGGAGATTTAATGATAAAAGAAATATAGAATCCTTTGGGTATTTCATTGGAGCTGGAACACCTCTCCTGTGAAGACAGGCTGAGGGAGTTGGCATTGTTCAGCCTGGAGAAGAGAAGGTTCTGGGGACATCTTATAGCACCTTCTGGTACCTGAGGGGAGCCTACAAGAGAGCTGGAGAGGGACTTTGTAAAAAGGGCCTGTAAGGATAGGACAAAGAGGAATGGCTTTAAATCAAAAGAGAGTAGATTTAGATTGGATATTAGGAAAAAATTCTTCCCTGTGAGGGTGGTGAGGCACTGGAACAGGTTGCCCAGAGAACTTGTGGCTGCCCCATCCACTACAGTGTTCGAGACCAGGTTGGATGGGGCTTTGAACAACCTGATCTAGTGGAAGGTGTCCCTGCCTGTGGCAGAGGGTTGAACTAGGTCCCTTAGAACTTTAAGGTCCCTTCTAAACCCAAACCATTCTATGATAAAAATGGTTTTGTAACTCTATATCTGTTCCTCAGCTGAGTGTTATAGGTTATTAACAATGAAATCAATAGAAGTTGGTTATCACTGTAAGGAATTTACATTTTTAGACCTGTAATCCAGAATGTGTTGCATGATTACACTAAACCCTTCAGAGAAGTTAATAGGACAATGCACACTTGTAAGAGCCTACAGAAAACAGCTACATTTCCTTTTCTATGGATTAGAAGATCCAGGAATATCTTTCTCTGAGTTTAACTGCTACAGGTTCTTGTTGAAAATAGTATGATTTTAATATTCTACAGAAATCTGTATTAAAAGGAGGGGAAGGGAGGAATCTGTAAAGGCACAGCAGCAACTGATTATTTTTATTTCATTAGCTTATGTAGTTGTGCCAGCGCACATTCTAGCCAATCTTTGTTGCAATAAAAAATAATGCTATCATTTGCAGGCAGGTTTCCATATGTAGAGAAACTAAGACACAGTAGAATGAAGCTTCATCTCATAAGGAAATTTCTTTCCTTCAAATATTCTTGTAGGCTGTGAGATTATACTTTTTTTCCCCTATTATTGTTTTCTGAAAAGCTTTGTACCTAATTGCAGGAAACTCTCTTCTTAAAAAACAAAACAAAACCAGAAAAAAAAAAAAAAAAAAAAAAAAAAAAAAAAAAAAAAAAAAAAAAAAAAAAAAAAAAAAAAAAAAAAAAAAAAAAAAAAAAAAAAAA